TGCTAAAAATATATTATTTACAATAAAATGCTAAAATACGATATTATTTACAATAAAATACTTAATTAATCTCTCACGTATAGTGTCTATAATACAGGCAACAAATGCTAGGAATCGTTGATGTACTTGTAATATTTCGATATAGACCGAAAAATGAGATTTATTCGCGGCAATACCAAAAATAATATGCGTAGATATATTTCAGACTCGCTCGCCGTTTTGCGTGTTTGTAAAAAATATTACTGTCGTCAAGGATGCAGGACCCTACATGCAAAAACTCATGAACGGTTCGTCGTATTTTCAATATTTTCGACTCTCGTTTCACCGTTTCGCCACCGAAATAAGCGAAACGACCGAAACGAGTACAATAGTAAGTAAATAAATAAAAAAGTTAAAAAAAAAAAGCCTTGATCTCTAGCACGTTACTATGGGCCACTTGCTTCGAGCCCAAGCCCACCGCGCGGAAACGCTTGGTTGTAAAATGGCGAAGGTCAACGTGGTAGACAACAAGGCTAGAAAGCGATGGACCGCGATAGTGCTGACTTGCCAAAACAAAGCTAGTGCTCACACCTTCCAGAAAGGTAAATACAGTAGTGTGAATGTTCATGTGACTATTACATGTAGTTATTTACTGTTCGTGTTATGAAACAACGTAGAACTTTCGTTCATCAACTAAAACGTCCTGGTTCTGAAATTAAGCTTAATCTTTTTTTGTTTTTTGTTTTTAATTACACAGGTGGGAGACCTGTCGAATTTTAAAACTAAGACTCTGATCAACAGGTGCCTTAGCAATCTTGCTTTATTCTGGCTGTTTTTATAGCGTACATTTTCGAAACATTTGGTAAAAGTTAGGTCATGCCCTTCAAAATGTTGATCTGCGGAACAAATATCATTCTTGATGGAGAACGATCCATATTTAAGCGTCCACGGTGTAATAAAGGGAAGCAAGAAGGAATGTTAACGAATATACGAGAGGTCGCTAAGAGAAATGATTTCTCAGTAATGACACGACTGAATTTTGTCAAGGTTTGAATAAGACCTTTTAGTAAGACTGTTTTCAAGGAATTGCGGTGTCACAGTGATATGTGTATCCCCGTGATATGTGTATCCCCGCACACATATCACTAGTGATATGTGTATCCCCTCCAAGATGGCGACCAGTGA